CCACCAAAGTGAGACTCACCCACACACGCATGCACTTGCGCACATAGCGTAAAAACTCAACAAGTAAGCACGGGGCATGCATACATGCAAGATGGGTTGATCACAAACATATCCAGAGAACACAGCGAACAAAGTCTGAATCTGAATCTTTAGCTGCAAAAACATCAACGCGACAATGGACAGGATTTTCTCAGAAAAGTGCAGAGTTCTTGCACATCACAAAACAAAAACGATGCTGCGAAGGTAATGGCTCCCCAAACAAAACACTCAAAGATAAAAGGAAAAAAAGGCTCGGCGCCGTCGGCGGCATATGATAGGGGAGTTCCTTATGCTTTTTCTTTCTTTTGTGCTTTTTTTCCTTTTCTGTTTTTGCAGGCGAAGCCGCAACGGGTCATCTAGTACTATATTAATATTGTCTATGAGTGTACTATATTAATATTGTCTATGTACTACTATATTAATATTGTCTATGTACTACTATAATGCGATAGTTCGTTTGGGATAATGTGTAAGCGAGTTCAAGCTCATTGATTCAGCAGTGAGCACTATAGTATGTTTGCAGTCTTTTTGTTCGGCATTTAAAAGAAATCATAAAATCCGCAATTGTTTACTTGTTGAGTTGTTATGTATGGCGACTGTCTCGTTCTCAAGCTTGCCAACCTCTTTATTTCCTGACGACCTCTTATAATGCTGGGAGAAGTCAGTCAATCATGCTCTGGCCACTCTTGGTCATGATGGGTGAGTGTTCAGAGAAACTTCAGACTCTTTAGAGTCTTCAGACGCTTCAGGCATTCTGTGTCTTGCCGGTTGAAGGACTAAAATGTGATGACCTCCGGAATATGAACAGGTATCTGGAAGAACGTTTTTTTTCTAGAAAAAGAAACAGAAAAGGAAAACTGTGATATCGGGCCGAAAAACCCGTTCACCTTGTGCATTTACCTCCATTTCTCCGCATCGGAAAACTGAAATACCAAAAACAATTGCTTCGCAAGTCATCAACGATGAATCTGCTGAAAGGAATAATCAAGGGGCTGCCCAGATTCTTCCTACCCATCAAGGAAGGAAGTGTTTAGGGACAGACCACTGCGGCACAGCAATAGAATTTAGGAGGCTCGCACAACTAGCTGTAGATGAATAGTTATATTTCATCCTCCAAAGTCAGGGGTGAGCAGAGGTACATCCGTCCAAGCCCGGAAGGAATCAGCGCTGCTGACTCACGGTTCCACGACCAGTAACGGAGGAAAGCATGCGCGAGGCTATCGTGCAAGGGACGCTGAACCCGATTTTCAGCTGTAGGGAAAGGGGCTGGTGAAAAAAGGGAAGGGGAAAGCTCTTTTGTTGCGGAATCGGCCAGCTGTGACGTTAGAGCATCAACGGTTGATTTTCGCTCCCGATTTTTGCTGATTTCTAACGTTCTGTTTGGTTGTTGTTGACTTCCTTGTGGTGGCGGTTGGTGATGTTGGTGGTGGTTGTAACTTGTAAATGCTTGTTAGTAGGGAATACATTTTGGCCGTCCTTTTTCGGTGGTTTCCTTGTGGTTGTTTTGGTAGGTGTGGAGGTTGTGGTGATAGTTGTTGTTTGTTATTGTTGTTGTCGTCATCGTTATCATCACCGAAGATTGCTGTTGTCGCTGTCATCAGTCTTCTTGCTGCTGTGGCAGTGGTCCTGGTGGTTGCTGCATCATGATTTTGTTGTTGTTTTGCTGATTGTATTTTGGTTGATGTGGTTTTGTTGGGCGCGGGTTCATGATCTTCTCTCTGTCATTACTGCATTTGTGGGCATGGATACATTGCTTACTTATTGTCCTTGTTGTCTTCGTGTAATGGTTGTGCTTGTGATGGCTCTCCTGCTGATGCTGGTGTTGTTGACTGTGGCTCATTCTCCCCTCCTTCCCTGGCCCTCAACTACCTCCAGGTTTACCGATAACTACAACCTTTGTGACGCGCCAGGCCTAGAACCATGCGGACCTCCATCAGCACCAGCCCCCGTGCCAGGACTGCCGTCAGACTCAGACTCAGTGATACGGTCAATCCCATCAGCACTACCAACGGATCTTCAGCCGCCGCCATCATCGTCTACAAACTCTGCCACTACTGCAAGGGATGGATCTTTCAAGTTCCCACTGGTCGCTGCAGCAGCAAGCTTCCTGTTTTTGCTGTCAAATGTCAAGGGTTTTACTTTGTGAAGCTTGGAGCTCTTTCCCTTTAAGTCCTGCATAAGAGGTATGATGATAATCACCATGTTTGTTTTTCCACCAAAATCGGTCTAGAATCATGTTCCGGAGGTCCATAAAGTGCAAAACCCGGTCCAGACACATGTTCTGGAGGTCCATAAAGTGCAAAACCCGATCCAGAATCATGTTCCGGACGTCCTTAAAGTGCAAGTTTGGTCACCTTCGTATCTTTCCGTAGAATCTTCACATTCCTTTGTCTTCTTCTCTTTTTTTTTTCTTCTTTTTTTTGTCCCTTTTCTCTTCTTCTCATAAAAGCCCACAAAATTTTATGTTCACGCATGATGTATCTCAGTTGAATCGTCAGGCTCCTACTTTTCTTTACCTATTGTGCTGCAATACACGTAATTGCATGCTAACCATGGTTATTATATAATGTATAGTTATGAGAGCTTATGACTGCAGTTACCACTTGGGGAAGATATAGTAGAATGATGGTTCTTCCCCTAGGACACAGTCATGTTACTACCTTCCCCAAGGGCCCAAGTAGATAAGGATATTAATTTCTCTAATACCCTAAAGGAAAAGGCGGGTCTCGCGTGACGGGCCCAGGCGAGACACCGCCCGCGGCGCCAGGGTCCCACACGCGAGACCCGGTACTTTCCAGGAGGGCGCGACGGTTTGGGGAGGCCGGGAGGGGCGGCGTGTTTGCGACGGGCGGCGCGCCGGTTCACGGAGCAGGTCGTGGCGGGAACCCGCCGGCCCAACGAACAGGCTGCGCCCGCTGTCACCCGTCGGAGTGGGGCGGTACGGGTGGACCCTCGGGAGACATTCGGACGTGCGGCGGGCCGGTCGGGTGGAGCGACGGCGAAGACGCGT